GAGGTGAGGGCTGGGCCATGTCCAGAAGCAGTGCTCCTGGGGCCCAAGGAAGGCACTAAGCTGGTCTGGGTGAAAATGATCAGGAAACAGTATTGGTTCCCCAGGTGTCTGGGGCCCCAAGACTAGGAATGGCGCAGGGCCCAAACTAGGAGTAGAGAACAGCGGGGAAGATGGAAGGGTAAATGCGGCTGGGGGAGTTAAGGTGCGGAGGGGTGCACGATAGACTTACCCAAGAGAGGCCTGAGGGCAGGAGATCAGGCCAGGAGAGTTAGCCCGTGGTGCAGGTCCAGGGAAGCAGGGAGAGGTGAGGGCGGGGCCAGGTCCAGAAGCAGTGCTCCTGGAGCCTAAGGAAGGCACCAACCCGGTCCGGGTGAAAAGGATCAGGAAGCAGCGCTGGCTCCCCAGGTGTCTGGGGCCCCAAGACTAGGGATAGTATAGGGCCCAAACTAGGAGCAGAGAACAGCGGGGGAGATGGAAGGGTGAATGTGGCCGGGGGAGTCAAGGCACGGAGGGCTGTGCGATAGACCCACTCCACCCAAGACTAGGAATGGCGCAGGGCCCAAACCAGGAGCAGAGAACAGTGGGGAAGATGGAAGGGCGAATGAGGTCAGGGGAGTCAAGGCACAGAGGGCTCCGCGATAGACCCACCCCAAGAGGCCTGAGGATAAGAGAGCAGGCCAGGAGAGTTAGCCGGTGGTGCAGGTCCAGGGAAGCAGAGAGAGGTGAGGGCGGGGCGGGTCCAGAGGCAGTGCTCCTGGGGCCCAAGGAAGGCACCGAGCCAGTCCCAGTGAAAAGGATCAGGAAGCAGCACTGGCTCCCCAGGTGTCTGGGGCCCCAAGACTAGGAATGGCACAGGGCCCAAGCTAGGAGTAGAGAACAGCGGGGGAGATGGAAGGGTGAACGCGGCTGGGGGAGTCAAGGCGTGGTGGGCTGCGCAATAGACTTACCCCAAGAGAGGCCTGAGGGCTGGAGAGCAGGCCAGGAGAGTTAGCCGGTGGTGCAGGTCCAGGGAAGCAGGGAGAGGTGAGGGCGGGGCCTGGTCCCGAAGCAGTGCTCCTGGAGCCCAAGGAAGGCACCAAGCTGGCCTGGGCGAAAAGGATCAGGAAGCAGCACCGGTTCCCTAGGTGTCTGGGGACCCAAGACTAGGAATGGCGCAGGGCCCAAACCAGGAGCAGAGAACAGAGGGGGAGATGGAAGGGCCCATTTTTAGTTTTTTAAGGGTTCTCCACACTACTTTCCATAGGGGTTGCACAAGTTTGCAATCCCACCGGCAGTGGATGAGCATTCCCCTTTCCCCACATCCTCTCCAACATTTGGTATTATTTGTTCTCTTAATCTTAGCCAGTCTGACTGGGGTAAGATGAAATCTTAATCCTCTAAACATAGAACAGGGATAAAGAAGAGGACATTAGTGAATCTCTCAGTTCTCAAAAATGAAGCTTCCTCATGCAGTGGAGAGCCAGGAAGACAAAAGATCACAAATGTGTAGAGATCAAGAGTCTGCTGCATAATGGTCCTTGGACAGGACCACTTTATTTAACTTCACCCCCTAAGGCTCAGGGACCATCACAGAAGAGGGGATGGAAAGATTGTAAGAGCCAGGGAGGAAGTGCATGACCATATGGAAACAAGAGTCCTACCAGCTCCTGGGAACCTGCTCATATCATTCTATGGTAATGTGCCAGCATACAGAAGTCCCATGCAAACTCAGGCAGACAATAACCCAACATAGAATGGGGAAAATGAACAGCAGACCCCATTCTTATCTGAAGAAATGTTGGCAACTGACTGCTGCTAGATGAAGAAGAGCTGATCTTCCTAAAGCAAGGGACTGTAGATAGGCTGACTAGACTTAGTGGATGGACTTGCAGTAGGGAACAGCCGGGGACACTGATAACACAGTGGGCCTTAACAGGGATGACAGAGTATATGGGCTCCAGTCGGGGGCGCTATGGGAGGGTGCCCGTGGGGACGGGATATAAAGGTGATCAAGATTGTTTGAGATGTTCTGTATAAAATGCTTTGTAAATTCAGTCTTCCTAAAGCAATTTATTTACTTCCTTGTAAATTGCTTTATCCTATGATTTAACTATTTCTGTCCTGAATTCTGTACTGTGTTTCAAATTTGCTTTGTAACTACATTAAAATCATCCCTTAAAATAAAATTAAAAAAAAAAATATGGGGGGGTGGAAAGTAAGTTTTAGAGGTAATAGCTATGGGATTTGGTTGCTGACTGAGGCCAGGAGGATGTCAGAGGATCAGAGAACTCTGAGATCCATGGGTCATAACCATGAATGGTGACAAGCATCGTGGTGGAGGGGCTGGACAGATAGCTCAGTGGTTAAGAGTGCATATTGCTCTTGAAGAGGACCTGGTTTTGATTCCTAATACCCATATCAGGTGGCTCACAACCACCTATAACTCCAACTCTGGGATTTGCGGATACTTCTGGCCTCTGCCAGAAGATTTTTTTATAAATCTTTTTTTTTAAATGTTTTATTTGTCAGTTTTATTTAATGTGTATGCATGTATTGCCTGAATGTAGGTAAGTGCACCTGTGTCATGCAATGCCCATGGAGGACAGAAGAGGCTGTCGGATCCCCTGGAACTGGAGGAAAGGACAGTTGTTAGCTGCCATGTGGGTGCTGGAATATGAACTTGGGTCTTCTGCAAGAACAACCAGTGTTCTTAACTGCTGAGCCATCTCTCCAGCCCCATAAATACTTTTTTTAAAAAGAGTAGTGTTGCAAAATAAAAACTGAATCTGCCACTTAAATCTTTGATTAATGAAGGGGAATGACGAATAGGACCTTAAATATCTAGAACAAAGCAAAGTACTAAATGTTATTATTTCATCCCATCTATTTGTAGAGAGGTGGGACTGTTGGAAAAAGAGTCAACAGCAGTCTGGAAGCTGAAATAAAAAGCAAAGAGACTAGAAAGATAACTCAGTGGGTAAAGTGCTTGCATTGTAAGCATGAAGACCTGTATTCAGTCCCCAGTACCCACATAAAAAGCCAGATGTGGTGCAAAATGCTTGGAATCCCAGCTCTGAGGAAGCAGAAACAAATGGATCCTTGGGTTCACTGGCAAACCAACCTTGCTAAATCAGCCACCCTGTCATAATGAGAGACCCTTTCTCAAAATGTAATGGGCGGGGTCTGGAGAGATGGCTCAGTGGTTAAGAGCACTGGCTGCTCTTACAGAAGACCCAGGTTTGATTTCCAGCACCCACATGGCAGCTACCATCTGTGACGCCCTCTTCTGACCTTCACAGCATTGCATGACATGGGTGTACTTACATACATGCATGCAATATACTCATACACATAAAATAAAACTAATAAATAAAATATTTAAAACAAAACAAAACAAATTGGGCTTCTCCTAAGGAGCAACACCTGATTATGACCATTAGCCTCTACCCACATGTGCACACATGTACGCTCACACACAGATTATGCATACACCTTTTCCTCTCCCATACACAAGAATTAAGCAGAATCTTTTTCCACCTTTAAGGTGCAGTGGTCTGTAAGAATGAAACAGCCCTGTCTGAGAGAACTATACAGGAAGCCAGCTTTCAGAGGGTGCTGGAATGCTCAGCAAGGGGTCAGAGTGCACAGATCTGCCCAGTGGGATAGCATCATATCAGTACATGAACATACAGCTGAATGTTGCATTGTACTAGATGTCACTACTGTAGAACACTTCTGACACCACACATATGGGCCTTCCTCACATCAGCAACCAATTTCCCCAAGGCTCTGGACACCAGCTAAGTGTCCAGCATTACTCCAACTTTACCACTGAATACCTGGAAACATTGGATCCCACAAGCTAGTTTCCACAGTCTCACTTCAGATAACAGTTGTAAGCCCTATGCATCCTCTTCCTCCTACAAAGCTATAAATCAGGGGTTCCCATATCCTCTCTAGGCCTGATATTTGACTAGAATGGATTAGGGACTTCTGCAGATGTGTCATTGCATACGCATAACTGATTATTAACTCGTCTTCAGCCAGCCTCCCTTCCCAGTAGGGAGGGGCTGAGACTGAAAGTTCTAGGTTCTTGTTAGGGCTTGGTCTTTGGGGGCCAGCCCCCCATTAGAAATTACCTCAGGTCTCAAGTTTTTCTTCACAGCAACAAAAGAGGTTCTTCCTGAAAATTTCAGGGAATTTAAGAGCTCTGTATCAGAAACAAAAGACTCAGCCAGGAAGTTAAAAAATAATATTAGGAGGTATGACAGTAACCAGATCCAAAGACTAAATATTAGAACAAAAGATTCTCTGATTACTTTTTCTCTCAGGCAGCACTTGGTAGGCACAATCAGGCAGATCTCAGTGAGTTCCAGGCCAGTTTGTTCTACATAGATCTACATAGGGATTCCAAGGCCAGCTTGGAATGCAGGGACACTCTGTCTCAAAAAGATTCTTCTAAAATATAAATAAATAAATAAATAAATAAATAAATAAATGTTTAAATTCTTGTTACTTTATTTGACATGGAGTTTTCTCCATTAACCTGAAAATAGCTGTTTTCTCCCAGCCTTTATTTTTCTCCTTTTTTCTATCTGTCAGACAATATGAAACACCTCTTGAAGGCAACTTAATCAATCAGGAGATGATGCTAAAACGACAAGAAGAAGAAATGATGCAGCTGCAAGCCAGGATGGCCCTCCGACAGTCTCGGTTGAGCCTGTACCCAGGAGACACAATCAAAGCTTCCATGCTTGACATCTCCAGGGATCCGCTAAGAGAAATTGCCCTAGAAACAGCCATGACCCAGCGGAAACTGAGGGTAAGGTGATTCTTAGATTACTACGCCTAAACTTGCTCTTAAGAGACTATTGGGCAGAGGACTTTAAAATTTTGCTCTAGGCTTTCTGAGTGGTATAGCCACTGGTGAGTTGCCCATGCTCTGGTAAATAACCCTTACCCATGCTTCCATAAACAACTCTAATTCAACTCATTGGGTCACCAATAAAAGGGGAAAAAGACACTAAAGTAGAAAGGGTACTACTAGTTGGGAAGAGAAAAGGATGGGAAGGGGACAGGAGAGGGGAATGAGGGATAAATGTGGCCAAACTACATTGTATACAAGTATAAAGTTGTCATTAAAAAACATTCTTGGGGCTGGAGAGATAGGTCTGCATTAAGAACACTAGCTGCTCTTGCAAAGGACTCAAGTTTGGTTCCCAGAACCCACATGGCAACTAATACCTGTCCTTAACTCCATTCCCAGGGGATCTGACCCCCCTCTTCTGGCCTGTGTGGGCATTGAGCACTGACTGACATACATGAAGGAAAAACATACCCATAAAATAAAAACAATTTTTAAAAACTTTTTAAAGAAATCAGTATTGTATATAATTAATATATGCTGATAAAAGTTACTATAGATATCCTAAAGGTGCCTGTAGGTGAAATTGAGAATCTATGTTAGTTCTCATTAGGATTAAACATCTTATTGTTCAGGGGTCTGGAGAGATGGCTCAGCAGTTAAGAACACTGGTTGTTCTTGCAGAAGACCCAGGTTCATATCCCAGCACCCACATGCCAACTAACAACTGTCAGTAACTCCAGTTCCAGGGGACCCAATAGACTCTTCTGTCCTCTGCGGGCATTGTACGACACAGGTGCACTTACCTACATGCAGGCAATACACACATACACATAAAAATAATAAATAAAATAGTTTTTAAAAGTTTTAAAAAATCTTATTGTTCAATGTTAAATATTTGGCGCTTTTGTTATTTTCAAAATAATATTAGATGAATTTAGAGTATTTTAACTGCCTAGCTGGGCATGGTAGCATATGCCTATACTCTCAGCTTTAGGGAGGCTGAGGCAGAAGGATCATGAATTTGAGACCAGCCTGGGTTACATAGGAATTCCACAGCAATGGTGGCTACATAGCAAGATCATGTCTCCAAAAAACAAGTATATGCCGGGTGTGGTGGCGCATAGCCTTTAATCCCAGCACTCTGGAGGCAGAGGCAGGCAGATCTCTGTGAGTTCGAGGCCATCCTGGTCTACATAGTGAGTTCCAGGACAGCTGGGGCTACAGGGAGACCCTGTCTCAAAAAGACCAACCCCCCCCCAAAAAAAAACCCAAAAAATAAATATATGTATTTCCAGGCATGGTATATCGTACCTGTAGTCACAGCTACTCAAGCGACTGAAGCAAAATAATTACCTGGTAGTCTGAAGCCAGCCTGGGCAGCATAGCAAAACTCATCTCAGGAAAACTGTTAAAAGAATTAAAAACTATAAAAAGTGCATGATGATCCTTAAGAGCAAATAAGTTTTATTCAGTGTAATGGAGACTTTTTAATTGTAAGAAATTCATTAGCCCATAAATCAAGAGATGAGATAGAGAGTTCAGGGTTAGTTCAGAAGCTCAGAAATACCATCAAGTATATTCCATCTTGCTCCTCTGCCATTCTCAGAATTGTGGCAGTGATTCTCTGCCAAAATGACTGCATTAAAATCAAGCATCGTGTCCTTTCTCTGCAATGTCCAAGACAAGAAACAACTTCACATCTTACTCCTCGAAGCAGAAGTGGCTTTTCTATTTGAGATACTTTTCTTTAGCCATATGACCTTAAATATGTATTTTATAAAACATACATTTAAAATGAGCATGGGCCCTTTTCCTCATAAAAACTGTGAAATCCTCTGTGTGTGTCTGCTACATGCTGTGATTTCTTTAATCCTATCATTAAGTGCTTCAGATGTTTCTAATTTGTTGAAAGTGATTCTCTGGTTAACATCCCTGTAGCTAAATCTTGGCAGGTAACTTTCTTCAAACCAAGTGAAAGGCAGGCACATTTTTTAAGATATTTGATAAATATTAGCAAGTGCCATTCCAAAGCTTCTACTGATTTATGCTCATATAATGATCATGCCTGTGGTGTCATGTTCTTACTACTATGGAGTCTATCCTTCCTTTTTATCACCCAATAATTTGATAGATAAGACAGTACCTCCTGTCTTCATTACTTAAAAATAATTCTTTAAAAAGAAAATAAATGTTAGTAAGGTGATTAAAATCTACATTTTTAAATTTTTAGTTCTGTACTAAGGAAATATATCCTAACATGTTTGGGTTTTTTATTGATTTAAAGAATTATCTTAAAAATATATTTAACTTCATAAAATTCAATTTTTTTTCATAGTACTCTAAGGAGTAAAAACATGATGGAGTAGTAAAAACCACACTGAGCTACAAATTGGAAGATTGAATTCTATTACTTATGATACTGCAATTATGACTTCATCACTTTCACACCTCTTTGTGCTTCATTGTTCTAATTTTTAAAAAAAATTTATTTTGTGTGTATGAGTGTTATGCCTGCATGTGTGTAAGTTCACCTCTGTTGTATAGTGCCCACAGAGCACAGAAGAGGGAGTTGGATCCCCTGGAACTGGAATTATGGATGGTTACTAGCCACCATGTGGGTGCTATGATTCAGACCTAGTCTTTTGCAAGAACAACCAGTGCTTTTAACTGCTGAGCCATCTCTCCAGCCCCGTCCTAATTTTTTTTATGTGGAATTAATTTGTAAGATACTGTCCAGTTTCAGTGTTTAGATTGATAGTAAACTTCAACAATTTATTTTAAGCTGAACAGAAGAAACTGATTTTTAAAAGTATTTTATTATTTTTATTTTTTGTGTAAGCATGTATTGCCTGCATATATGTAAGTGCACCCATGTCATGCAATGCCCACAGACTTCAGAAGAGGGCATGTGATTCTCCTGGAACTGTAGTTATGGATGGTTGTTAACCACCATGTGGGTTCTGGGAATTGAATTTGGGTCCTGTGCAAGAGCAGCCAGTACTCTTAACTGCTGAGTGATCTCTCATGCCCCAAATACTAATTTTTAAAAGTTTTTTTGTGCATTTTATGTGTGTGAGTGTATTGCCTGAATGTATTTAATTGCACATGTGTTATGCAATGCCTATGGAGATCAAAAGAGGTGCCAGATCCCTGGAACTGGAGTTACAGACAATGGTTAGCTGCCATGTGGGTGCTGGGAACCAAACCCAGGTTCTCTGAAAGAGCAGCTCGTGCTCTTAACCAATGTGGAATTAATTTCTGTCTAGTTTCAGTTTTTAGATTAACAGTAAAATATTTATTTTAAGCTGAACCAAAGAAACTTAATGAGACGTTACCAGTTTATTGTTATAACCAAACCTGTATCAAAATTGCATCATAAGCAGGATGTCATGCTACATAGTACAGGCTTCCAGTGTGATAATTGTGTGTGTGGCTTGAAGGCACACACATGTGCACATGTTTTTCCCAAGCCTTAGTTTTAGAGAGCTAATCTTAAGGATTTGTTTATTAATAATTCATAAATTATGGATTGTGCCCTTACAATATGCTGCTATTATGTATTATCTTACAAAAGTAAACCTGTGTTTAATTTTAGGCTGGCAATTTCTGACTATGTTGTAGATCACCTACTTGTCTTTTTTCTTTTGAGAAAGAGTCCGAGTCCTTCTTGTTGGCCTGAAACTCACAGAAATCTGCCTGCCTCTGCTTCCCTGAGGGCTAACATTAAAGGCATACACCACCACACTCAGCTCCTGGCTATTTCATAGAAACGTAGCTTCATCAGAGACACGCTATATTTATGAGTAGATAATTTGAATTGCCAGTCACTAAAGGATCACATGGCATCTCATCACTGAAAAAAAAACCAAAAAACTAAAAAACCAGAAAGCTATAGTGACAGAGTCTGTACGCATGCACACATGTGTGTTGTGTGTGTGCACGTGCATGTGTGTGTTGTATACACATGGCCATGTCAATGTATGCATGTGTGCATGGAGGCCAAAGCTCAACATTGGCTCTTTCTCGATTGCTTTCCTTTTTTTTTTGGGGGGGGGGGAACAGGGTTTCTCAGTGAGCCTGGAACTCATCAGTTGACTAGACTGGCTTGACCCTAGGATCTGCCTCCCTCTAAATCTAGCACTGGGATTGCAGATGTGTACTGCCATGCCTGACTTGTACCTGGGTATTGGGTATCCAAAATCAAGCCTGCTTCTACTGAGCAGTAGGCAGTGTGCCAACTGAGGCATCTCCCCAGCATGGAAGGTTTTATTTTTGATGCTGAAAAGGAGTACTAGTTTGTGCAGGAGCAATTTCAAAACGAACATACTCTTTCCCAAAATATCACTTAATTTTTCATCTCTCCTTTTGTGTGCAGACACATTTCACCCTGTTCAGGCTGTGCTGATCTTCACTGTTCAGTGTTCTCCAGTGCAGACCTTTTCTTTTGCACTGCTCCATTTCTGCCCTTGTTTAAAATGCACACTTGGGACTAATTGATAATTAACAAACCTTTAATGTTAAACTTATTGAAATAGCACCTGTCACATGTTCCACATTTAGTTAATTGGATTGAATTCCCACAATGAGAAATGAAATGCAAGAAACCTACTAAAGCAAAACTCCAGTAATCTCCATTAGTTCAAAGGCACACACGTAGCAACCTGCCTTCGGCTTCAAGCCCTGCTCCCCTTTTGCCTTCCACCCATGTTGACATAATCTTTCAGCCTACTCAGCTGTTCCTACTTGGAGTCTACATGCTTTGTCTTCTAAATCAGTGCCCTCCTTTTCCTAAAAACCCAGAATATGTGAGAGAAAAGAGTAAACTTAGGAGTAGTAAATTTAGAGCACAAACTCCACAGTTCCATCATTTGAGTCTCCACTCCCAGATGTTTTCTTGCTTGGACCAGCAGTGTAGAATAGACACTATGTGTTTCCCCTGGTTGCTACTGTTTATA